GAACCGGTAGGAAATCTACCAGAAGCAAGTGCTACGTAACACCAGCCCAGGACGCTCTATATGCTGCCTCAGCCCATATTACACTTGTGGGATCTGGTTAAATCATTTCACAATTCAATATCTCTATATACAAATTATTTACAATATAGATTTTTTAAAACATTGTGTAAAATGACAAAATTTGTCATGTGAAAATCAGTTTCTGATCAAAATACATATACTGTACTGTATTATATGTGCATGTAAATCAGTCCATTCCAGTGCCTTCAAAATTTCTTACACTAGCAATTTTAATAGTACCACTAGTGATATAAATTTACTAGTTTCGCATTATAGAAAATGGGGAAAACTTAAGCAAAGCGTGAACTTCAGTCTGCAATTAATTGATCCCTTAAATTACACTTAAGAAAGTACCATGATTTTTAGGCGGTGCTCAACAACGAATCTGAGTCAGGCTTCTTCATCTTCGGCTAATTTTTGTTCTTCAGCTGTACGAAACAAAAAATGAAGTCTAATTGTCATGGAGTGAAGAACCCAGCATCGTTGATCTCACCTTCCTAGTATTCACCAGAAGACTAAGCAAGCTACTACAAAATTGTTGCCAGACTTCTTTAGATGCACTCGAGGAGGAACCGGTATGTATATTTTCTTTTAGCCTGTACAGTACTTAAATGCACATTATTGAATTTATATCTGATGTTTATATGACTTGTTAGCTGTAAGTGAAGTACAATCATAGTTATCCTATTATGCCTCTTGTTCTTAGCTGTGAATATTTGGTTATCAAATCATGGAACAAAGACTGTACAGTACAGTAATAATACCCAACCTCGAGTTTATCCTTGACCTCCCTTATCTGGCAGTGAAAAGACAGAAGCAACATATACACAATATGCAGAACATTATCATCAAAATTGGCACAGGTAAGCAGAGGCTCACTACGGTTTAGAATCTCCAAAAGGTACTACTCTCAGTACATTAAGATGCTGTTTTAATATTGTCTCATTATAGTTTATGCTTTCTACCAAAACATTGAGTTCATCTTGCATTTCAAAATGAAAATAATGATTGCTGTTACTTCATTCCAGTATTATAATGTAACTTTACCTTTGGATTTGTACTGAATATCAGTGAAGATGTTAACCAAACCACACATTAGAAAGTGAAGGGACGACGACGTTTCGGTCCGTCCTGACCATTCTCAAGTCGACTGTTAGAATGAACCATTCTCACAATCGACTTCAGAATGGTCCAGGACGGACCGAAACGTCATCGTCCCTTCACTTTCTAGTGTGAGGTTTGATCAACATATTTCAGCCACGTTATTGTGACTCCTCGTCTGAATCAGTGAAGACTTTGACACAGCAGATATACACAGTGCCATAGACACAGCCCCTTCCGGTGGAAATGGGTAGTGGCTGTTCACAGATACACGACAGTTTCCAGGTATGTAATTAGGACACCATGAAGGTCAAAAGCCATTTGCTAACCAGCATGTATAACTGTTCACATTACTTCCACAGATTTCAGGTTTATGAGCAATAAGATTTTCCATTCCTGTTGATCTTTTAAGGCAAGGCATAGCCTGTACTGTGTGTTTCTCATATTACTGCAGCTGCAAAAAATAGTAACATGATTAATAAACAATATACTCTTCTATAATGAGATTGCCAATATTATGTATTCAATAAAAACTCTAGAACAGCATTTCTCAACTGGGATTCAGTGGAATCCCCATGGTAACTAATGGGTTCCACAAGAGATGGTGATAAATAGCCTAATTCTCTAATCGTATGCAAATGTATTTTGACTCATCTGTGTATGTTTTTTCTCAACCAGTATCAAGAGCAAAGGCAGAAATCATCTCCTTTCAGTTGATAATTAAATCCGTGTGTGTGTGTATACTTTAGATAATAAAGTATAACCTGGAATTATTTCACGAGAATAAAGATAGAGAAATGCTTCTCTAGAGCCAAGTATATTTACCCGAGGGCCACTATCTCTAGTGATCTCGGGGAAGACGGGAAGCCATTGGCTTGTCAAAGGTTCCCTCTCCATTTGGCCTGAGGATTTTATCTACCTGGATTTTGAAATTCAGCAGTTTTGGTATTCATGGCTTGAGTTAGTAGGCAGGTCCAGGGTGAACCTGGACAACCCTATAGGTGAAAAAGCATCTCCAGTTTTTTTTGTCCTGCATTGTGGCTTCTTGATCTTAAAACTGTTGGTCCTTGTTTGTGTTACACCTGACCTAGTGAAGAAGTTGTCTGGGTCAATATACTCCAAATTTGTCAAAAAAATTTGTCAACCCTATCAGTGTCTGGTTTCCACTGCTGTTAGCTCTGTGGCCCTCGACTATTCCTGGTACAAGAGTCAACTTAATTCAGGAATTATTTTTGTCATCCTATATTGAACTTTCTCCATGGCATATATATATATATTAAGATCTGAAATGTAAAATGAATGAGAATATTAAAACTACAACAGCTCAGATGACTGGGAGATAATAGTAGCAAGGAAAAAATGTATAACTGAAGATAATAACAAGGTCAAAATAAAATGTATCTTGATATACATAGCAATAATCAGATCGACAGGACTATAACATTCAAAAGTCTGGATTAATATTCATTAGGATAATAAAAAAGTTGAGTATTGAGGGAGCCGGTCGGCCGAGCGGACAGCACGCTGGACTTGTGATCCTGTGGTCCTGGGTTCGATCCCAGGTGCCGGCGAGAAACATTGGGCAGAGTTTCTTTCACCCTATGCCCCTGTTACCTAGCAGTAAAATAGGTACCTGGGTGTTAGTCAGCTGTCACGGGCTGCTTCCTGGGGGTGGAGGCCTGGTCGAGGACTGGGCTGCGGGGACACTAAAGCCCCGAAATCATCTCAAGATAACCTCAAGATTGATACAAACCAATGCATGCATTATTAAGACAAGTTGTTTTGGCTAGGCCTACATTACCATTTTGGAAGCTGACACTCGGTTATGAATGATGAGCACTATTGGTAATATTAGTATGGGTGAAAATTGTGTTAGGGGAACAACTGTCATACTATTCACTGCATTTCAGTACAAGGGTCAGAATTCACCCAGTCTTAGTGCCAATGTAGAGTCCAGTACCCATCAGTGAATAAAAACTTGAAGCTGGCCAAACTGATAACATATAAGAATACTATACGGGCAGTAGAAAGTTAAACTTACACTGATAAAACACTTGACCAGAAGTAGAAAAGAGAAACAGAGAGGACACTTTGTACTATGACTAATAAGTGGTTGAAATAAATTCCATTAATACAGTTGGCTTCATTCTCAATGGGGGGGGGGGGGATACTCAGTTTCATTCCCAAGTGGGGCAGAAATGGTTGGACACATGTCCTTTCACCTAATGCAGCTGTTCACCTACCAGTAAATAGGTACCAAAGAGTTAGACATATGTTGTGGGATTGCATCCTTTGGAGAGTCAATAGTTTGACTTTGGGGGGGGGGAAGCTCAATATAAAGCATGAGTGTGTGTGTAATTATAGGATGAGAATTAGCCTCATGGTGTCCCATCTTCCTCGTACTCTTGTCATGTGATGTTTTGAAACTACTAATGCTTTTGACATCCACTGCCTTTCCACTTGTTTCAACCATCTACCATGGTGTTTGCAGAAGATAACTTTTTAATATCATTTTGTCACCTTTCTTTCCTTAGCCTGAATCCATGGTCTCATGTTTTTGAAGTTGCAGGTTTCAAGATTTTATCTTTGTCAGTGATGTTGATTCCTGTTTCTATTTTGTATGTACTGATCATATTGACTCTTTCTTCCATCTTCTAGCTTTAGCATCTTAAACCTCTAGCCTCTCCTCGCACCTCTTGCTTTTAATTTCTGGAAACCAGTAATGTCTTTACACAATTTCAGTCTATTGTTGTGCTTTTTGAGATATGGCCACCATACAACTGCTGCATGTGCAGCTTTTGGTTTTGCCCCCCCCCCCCCTGCCCCACTATTGTGGGGGATGATGGGGGGGGGGTTACCCCAGTTTTTACTCTCCTCACCATGGAGATCTGTGTAATAATTTTCTTGAATGATTTATATTATATGCAATTCCTCTAATCTGTACAAACTATAGTATATGTAATGATGCACTTAACTGGTTATATGAAATCCTTGTTTCAAAATAGTTGTGCGAGTTAATTTGAATTCCCTCTTGTATATCTATTACAATAACTAGGATTACAGTTACATCATTGCCTGTTACAATGTGTGGGTATAATAATTGCAATTGCTAAACTCGTTTGTGATAATCAGATCAGTAAAAGCACTTTTCAAGCAAGACATAACAGAACTGATCTTATACTTTTTAAATACTGAACAAGTTAGAATACATTAATCCAGACAACTTGTATGATTGGTCCAATATGACTCACAAAGGAGCAATAGTTTCAAATTCACCAAATTTCAGCATAGAACAGACATAAGGAGATGCTTTTTAATCCACAAGGTAATAAATCCATTGAATGTTTTAAATACCTAGATGGTGCTATAGTTATCTTGTATTAAAATATCAAGAGCGTGCTACAATTCAAAACAAAGAAAAAAATCCTCAGGAGGAGCTTGGGAACATTCCACAAGCCACTGACTTTCTATTCCCTGCCTAGGACACTTAAAGACAATGGGCTTCACGTAAATCCACAAAAATTGGTAGTCTGCCCTCATACAGCTTTTCCAATGGTAATGGAAGAATAGTTCAATAGCAAACAAAAAAAATTGTGATGGTGACAGTATCAGCTGTTATTAATAGCACCAACACTCCATTAAAAATGTCAGATTACAAGTACATACTGATATCTAATTTTTGTTAAATATAATACTCATTGTTAGTTTTGTTGAGATACTGTATACAGTTAACTAACTGTTCAAATGGGACATTGCTCATCTTGAGAACCAATGAACTACTTATCATTCAGTAGTGAATCTATACCAACTCTCAAAATGATGAAGTAAACAAAAATTGCATGACATAGTGACAATAGAGCCAGGGGTCTATATAATACAAATTTCATTTTACTACACAATTAGGTCATTAATACAATTATATCAGATTTCTCAGAAAACGAGATATTTTATGTATAGGGTGGAGTGTACAGTTCAACATAAAGTAGCTTTGTGACTCTTGACTGACAGGTTATATCTTGTGCACATTGGTTATGACACGGCATCTTCTGAACTCTCCGGGTAGTGATCATTCAAGGGTTTAAATACTGAACTGTACACAGGATTTAACTTTGCTTATATAAATGGTTGCTCTTATTCTATGAACACTGTGACCCTACTTAAAAAATCTTTTGCTATACAATACTACATTAATCTGTAATCCTTCTCTAGTTTTCCCATATATTTTAGTTACCAGTAAGACTGATTGCATGTGAACTTTTTATATTGTCTCGCTCTGACTTATGACAAAATTTAACGTGCTATCAGTCACCTCTATTTACCAAGTAAATAAAACTTTACTGTGAAGCCAATATAATTACTTGCTTTCATAAAGAAAATTATGTATAGAACCTTTAATAACTAGTTCAGCTACAGTATGCCAAATACAACAATGACAATTTTATATAATAAAATATAAATAAAAGTATTTTTGTTGTAAAATACTGTATATGGAATTCTTTCTTTGCACCAAAGAGCTAGATATTCCATATAAAGGAAATAGCATACTACAGCAGATTTCAAACATTTACAATAAACTTTTCCTCTGTTCCAGACCATCTTGGACTCCAAGATGATTAAACTATTCCTCTTAGGACCAGTTGAAATAGTTCCTAGGACAGGCTCGAGCTGACCCACACCAGGTAGTTTCATCAAGGACTGGGCAAACCTTTCCTCCCCGACGGGCATGTTTCATGATGGTCCGGGTCCTTGTCTGTTCACCAATCCCACAAGTTTTGCTGCATGGAGACCACTCTGACCACTCAGACACACGGCAGTCACGCGGCGGGCCTGTAAGTATTGGTAAGGATGGTGTAATAGTACAGACTAATCTCGTTTATCGTGTAATAGTACAGACTAATCTCGTTTATTGTGTAATAGTACAGACTAATCTCGGTTATCCAAACTAAACGGGAAGGTTATCCTCACTGGATATGCAAGACATCCAGATAAACACAAATTCTTACTGGGAAAGTTCAAAAATGAACATACTGTATTTATATATATATATTTTTGGTACCACAACCAACATAATTTGTATTTCCACACACTACATGGGGTGGCTTTAATGATTCACCTGGGCTCTAAAAGATCTAAACCACAGACTCCACGCATGTGAGGCAAAAGCTCTATCGACCGAGCTATTTGTTATTTAAAAATAGCTGACCAGCAAGAGGAAACAATATACTGGGCATCAGAAAGTACTTCAATGTGATACAGTACTGAAAAGACAAGAGTAATGGGTACAGAAACAAGGGGATAAATGACAGAGTGGAAGGAATAGTCAGAAGGCACACCTGCTTCCTCTTGAGTGTGTCCGTGTTTTTGTTCACCCAAGAGCCATGAAGAGAGGTTAGAGGGGGTTAAATATACTAAAGCTAGAAGATTGAAGAAAGAAAAATACTGTAATGTGATCACTACATACAAAATAATAACAGGAATCAACAAAAGCTGGCAAAGAATTAAAAAAATTTGCAACTTTAAGAACAAGAGGACAGGAAACAAAGCTGCCAAAGAAACATCAGATAGTTCTTTCTTGAAAACAGTGGTTGGAACGAGTTTAGTGAGAAAGTGATGGAGGGCAAAACAGTCAGTAGTTTCAGCGCATCACATGGCAGGATACTGACAAGAAGGGACACCACGAGCGTAGCTCTCATCCTGTAACTACTCTTAGGAAATTACACTTTGCACTTCACTTTATCTAGATTCCCATACATGTTGAATTGCCAGATAAAGTAGCTAAGTTGTACTTAAGTTGTAATAATATCTTCAGTCTAATTAGTTTGATACTTGCCCCATACAAATGTTTCAGCCTATTTATGAATAGTTACAATAACTACTAAAAAGGACGAAAATACCATGTACAAATAATGATCTAAATATATTTTCTTTCCTAGTGTTCTAAATTGTATACTTATTCATGTACCCTATTTTACTCCGCCCCCCCCCCCCCCCCCCCCCCAACAATAACTACCATAGTTGCACTCACGAATCTTTTTTAGTCCCTTTCTGCGTCTCCGCCTCTCTTCCCTTCTCTGTTTCCTCCTCTGCTTCCTTCGCTTCTTGCGCTGCTCCTTCTGGTAATTCTTGACAATATCATCAATCACAGCCATTGCGCTCCCTGAAGGAATACGATTCTGGGTAATGCTGCCCAAATCCTTTTTCTTTCCCAATTCAGCATCTTCATCCTCCTCATCCTCTAATTCTGCTGCTGTCTCTGTCTCGTCATCTGTTTCTACAGAGTTGCTCATAACTGATACCTGGTGGGGTTAGACATTTAAACATTAGACAGTACACTATAAATTTTGGAGTGGAAGATGTAGACATGACATGTACTCAAGCAAGCTGTATGTGCTGTTTAATGTGCTAATGTTCAACAAAGTTATCTATCTATCATTATTCAAGTTAAATACTTGTTTTCTTAATGTAATGCACTGAAAGTATTTTTATGGGAGCAAGCCCCTTGTTGCTCCCTGAAGCTACTATATGCAGAGACGATTCCACCTAGGTTGCATCAGCCATGAAGTTCTATAGGCCTACCAGGGACCAGTGCCAGAACTTGGCCCACTCAAAGTGGCACAGGGAGTGGTGACATTTAATTTTGCCACTTCACTGGGGAAAGGCAATTAGAAAGTCAAGATTCAAAACACATCACTACTGGCTTCAAAAGAAACCAAAACCACAAAATCCACCTAAAGAACTATGTAAATAATCAAATTCTCTCAGAACTAAAGTGAGCTCATTCGTCCCAACTTCCTCACTCACTTGGGGGAAGGGGGAACGGTAGCTCACTGCCATCCAGTGCCAGTTCTATAGCCAATGTGGTGTATACTGAATTGCCTCTCTTCCATGCTGGCTCTGGTGTTCTGCTTGTTCAGCTAGGTGGTGGTGGTCTTTGCCTCTGCTGGCATTTCCTGTACACTGCAGTGAAGTGAGACTAGTTTTGAGTACTTGGAGCTGCATGTGTGCAGGGTTACCTTTCCTATGTGCTCACTAGTGCTACCCTTTCATTGCCAGGGTTATTTTCTCTGGTTTGTTTCCGAGTCGCTCCCTTAGAGGTCTTCTTCACTCGTGGTTTATCAGGTGTTCTTTGAAGGTGCTCGTCAAGTTCTCATTTGAACACTGTGAGAGGGTAGCCATTTATTCCCCCATGTACTCACCTAGTTGTGTTTGCGGGGGTTGAGCTCTGGCTCTTTGGTCCCGCAATGTGTGTGTGTGTGTGTGTGTTTGTGTGTTGAAAAGTCTTTGGTTCTGTTTGTTGCGAAGTTAAAGACCCATCTCCCTACTTTGCCAGTAATTTGTGTACAGTTTGTGTGCAATAACACCATGGTCACATTTGTCGAAGGCTTTTGTGAAATCTGTGTACAGCATTTTGTCTGTTTTCCATGGTATCTAAGGCTTATCTAAGGCTAAGACTTATCTCTGCCAGTCTGACAATTGAGAGGCAGGAATGCCCTGTTTTGAACACATTATGCCCAGGGTTATGTAATTCCATGTACAGGTAGTTTGAGATTTTACTTCTTGGCAATCATTCAAAGTTTTTTATGGTATGTGATGCAAAAAAAAGTTTTAGACCAATAGCTCTAGCTTTACTACCTCCTTTGTGAAATGGCTCGATATCTGCTGTTTTATATATGTCAGAGATAATGCCAGTACACTATTTAGGCTCCACCTCCAAAAGATGTTTAGGGCTTTGGATTTTTTTTTCCAATTCTTGATGAATATAAAATTCTAGGAGTCTGGGCCTGGTGCAGAGTGAATGATGTCTATTGCTACTTCAAAGTCGAGTGGGGTTATGGTAATGTTTGATACTTTTGGGGTATCAGATGTTACCCTAATGGTGATATTACATTCATAAAGAATTCTTTTGGATAAATGATCTGCAATGCGTTCAGGGGTTCACTGAAATCAGAGAATTGTACACTAACCTCAGTATTTCACTCATTTCTTTGCTGTCATCTATGAAGGTTCCATCACCCTTGTGCAAGGGCCCAATGCAGGATGTAGTATTTGTTCTAGATTTTGCATAGGAAAAGTATTTTGGATTTCTCTCTCTCTATTTACTTATGACCTTTCACTATCTTTGCCTCTCCTGGATTTTATATGATTCTTACAACTTAGCTCAATTGTTTCTATTTCTCTACATAGTGCCCTCTTCTGAAATCAAATTTTTCAACTGCATCATTTTCCTCATTCTCTTTTAGATTATAATGCATTGCATATTTTATTTCCAAAGGGTCACATGGTCACATTTACCCAAGGAAGGGGGGGGGATGAAAGATACTGAATGTCAAATGTCTCTCCTTTCCTGGTGAATATCAAATGCAGCATTGAAGGAATATCTCCCTCCCTAATTTCTTACCTTGTTTAATGAGCTGATACGTGAATGTCTCGAGGATGAGGTTTGTGAATCTAACAGTCCAAAAGTCCACTGTTCTTGCTTCTTAGGCATTATTACCCAAGTGAGAGAGTTACACTCGTGGTGGCCAGTCTTCCCAGTACTCTTTTGTCACTTTAAAATTACTGATGGTTTTGTCACCCACCACCACCTCACTAGTGGTTCCAACCATCTACCACTCTGCAAAAAGTGAGCTTTCTAATAATTTTCTGGCAGCTTTGTTTCTTGACCTTAACTCTTATGACCTTTTGTTCTTGAAGTTCCAGGTTTCAAAAATTATTCTTTATCAATTTTGCCAATTCCAATTACTATTTTGTACGTAGTGATTATATCGTCTCTCCCCCCCCCTTCCTCCCCTTCTATCTTCTAGCTTTGGCATACTTAATACCTCTAGCTTCTCCTCATAGCTCTTGTCTCTCGGTTCCAGAAGCCATTTTATTACATGGCTTTGCACCTTTTCCAGTTTGTTCATGTGCTTTTTGAGATATGGGCACCATACAATTGCTACATATGCCAATTTTGGTCTCAGAAATGTTTCATATCCTTTCTTTTGTATTTCACCCTCCATGTATTTAAAAACGGTTTTGAAGTTAGAGAGTGTAGCATAAGCTCCTTGCACAATGTTCTTTATATGCTCCTCTGATGGCAATCTAGTATCCTGAACCACCCTCCTAGATCTATTTCTTTAAGAGTTCTTTAATTCCTTTCTACAGTGTACAGTGCTTAATACAATTTCAAATATTGTCTTATTTCACCTCTGGCATACTCATTTTCCTCCTGAGCTGTCCTGATCTGTGGATTAGGTTTTGGTTTTTCTTTCTGCCTTGGTGGGCAGTTTTTTCATCTGCAGCATCATTTTATGGCTTGGAATGAAATGGTTGGTTTCTGGAGGAGTCCTTTGGGGTCTTGTTTCTTGGTTTGTTCAACTGGGGGTGCATAATGTTGTTTATGTTCAGTTGCTACTGCTGGTCTCTACCTGCATGCAACCTGGTCTGTTTTAGGGATTGTGCTGATTGTTGATCTGGTTTCTTTTGTTCCCCCGTTCCAAAGCTTCTTTATCAATGGTCTTCCAAAGTGTCTTACAATCTAGCCAGCATGCGATCTACCTTCGGCCCATGCTGTTTGGAAGTTCTTGATTTTAGCCACTGTATTTTCTACAGTACTATTTTTTTGTGCAGATATCTGGCCTAGGGGAATTGAGGTCTGACAGGGTCCTACCAGCTTGTTACCTGGTCCTCTTCATGCTTGTATTGCCCTGGGTATGGTTCCCATCATAGTCTCTTCCCTTAGAGGGTTAGATTTATTGCTCTTCTTCCACAGTGTCCCGTATTTCTGTTTCTGTTGTTAGCTACAGGTAGCCAATGTTTGACCTCTCCATGAGACCAACATTAAATGTAATGAAATTAATATTTCTCAGGTGGCTCCCTGGACTCTCTCTTCTCTATCAGGTGTGTCAGTTGGTTTTTCTTCAGTTCAAATTTAATTTATATACTGTACATATACCTTGTATACACATACAGTACAAGGTACAACTGGTTGTGAAAGTACAATTATGTCGGTGATTAAGTGTTACATTCTTGCAGAGACTAACACGCAGCATTTTTTTGGTGAATCCTCAAGCTAACACAAATTTTGCAGTCAATTTTGAATTAGAAGGTGAAAGTCTTGAATAAATGTAGTGACAAGTATATAATGACAATTTTAATTCACAATTTATTAATATAAATTGGTGATAACAAGAAATTGTTTTGACGTAGTTGTATTACTAAATAGTTAAATAGTAGACGAGTTAGTAGAACAAGGCGGGATACTATGGTGATGAAATTAGGCATGTCATTGCTCTGCTGTTGAATAAAGCATAGGTTGAACAATTATTTACTGTAATTATTAGGAAAGAAAGTTCCGTATATTGGGTCCCTTTATTTACATGGCATATTTGTATCGATTTAGTCTGACTCTTGGAGTATCAGAGATATTCATGGGTTCTATTACATTCATCTAGGAAGAGTTTCAAAGCAGGATTAGAGTTGAAGAATAAGGCTTTGTAAGTGTAAAAATAGCACAAGAGAATGTGTGGAATGGGTGAATGTTTAGGGATTTCAACAGAAAAGTTGTGTGTTGTCTGAAGAAAGAGTTTAAAGTTCTGATTGAAAATTTTTGCTGTGTGATTACGGGCTTGAGGTAATTTAAAGATTTTTAACCCCGTGCACAGGTACCGTATGTTAGATAGGGATAGATTAGTGAGCAATATAGTGTAGTGAGAGACATCTGATTTCAGAAAGTCTACCTACAGTATTTGAAACTTTCTTGGCTATGTGTTGTATGTGAGTACCAAAGTGAGTACTTCTCTATGTATAAGCTAATGTACTGTTCTTGGTATGAGTGTTTACATTGTCTATCTGAAGGTTTGGTTGGTTAGAGGATTTGTTTTCAGATAAAATGGAGTAGGTCTTTTCTGTTTTAGTATTAGCTTGGTGGTTGATATCCACAATTGGCATTTTTAACTTTTTACAATATTTGAGTGTTACTTGGGGGAGTTTGAAACGAAGATAGTGTCATCAGCAATTAGTATATATATATATATTTAGGAATGTTAGACATTTGGCAAGTTATTGATGTATATAAACAAAATAGGAGAGGTCCTAAGATGCTGCCTTACGACACTCCAATGGTTAAAGTCAATGTTTGTGGATGATGTCAAAATAATGAGGAATGTAAAAACAGAGGAGTACTCCAGAATATTACAGAATGACATTAACAAACTCCAGGATTGGACAAACAAGTGGTTGCTGGAGTTCAGTCCTAACAAGTGTAAGGTAATGAAAATGGGGAGAGAAAAAGAAGACCAGAAGGTGTCTACTGTACACCATTAATGGAAGATAATTGCAGGAATCTGAGAGATATAGGAGTGGATGTAATTTCATCCTTAATACCAGAGGTGCACACAGGCAGGATGACTTCAGCAGCATATGGGAAACTGGCAAACAAACATTCAAATGTCATTTAGCATCCTAAATCAGGATGCACTCAAAGCCATATACACAACTTTTGCTAGACTAGTACTGGAATATGCAGCACCTGCTTAGAATCCATACCGTGTGAAAAATACAACTAAAAAAATGCAAAGGTTTGCTACTAGATTACTGCCAGAGCTTAGAGGGTTAAGTTATGAGGAAAGGCTGAAGGAACTGGATCTCACAACCGTGGAGGATAGAGGAGCTATGATGATAGCATACAGAATACTGAAGGGAATAGACAAAGTGGACAAGGACAATCTATAAGTTGCCAGACAAGTGGAAGCTCGAGTCACAAATGAGTTGAAGAAATGTAATAGGAGAAAATATTCATTCTATTCACCCCTCCCCCCACATCCTATTGGTTACTTGGTATTTCACTACCTCCCACCTCAAGTAAATTCAATTTCCATGCAGGATTCAGCTATGTAAATTCCTGTGCACACCGACCAGGAATATTGTATTTAGTAATGGATCCAGCACCTATAGAAAGACATTACATAGAAGACTTACAAACTTCGCAAGTAAAAAAAAAAATCATCCTATAGCTATATAACCTTGAAAACCAGCACAGACTGAAGGTTTAGGTCTAACAATGTTTGTTATACCTAAACCAAAATTTCTTGTATGAGATTTTCATACAGGAAAATCTCATGGATAAATTGAAGATGTTACACTGAACAGGATATCAATTTTAAAAACTGATACTTTCTTCAGAATGTCTGAAGATATATAAATAAGGATAGACAACTTTAATTTTGCTGTCATCAAGCAAAGGAGATATAACAAGCTCAACCTCTGTAGGCACAATTAGGAGAGTATAATAAGTCAAGTGAGAAAATGTCTCGTGTAATAAACCCTTTCAATAAATAATAATGGAACTGTTTACCACAACTGAAAGAACTTTGAAGACATTGGACAACCCTTCACAAGCAGCATGTTTGAACTTACTCTCTTGGAAGATGGCACATCAGTTTTTGGAGGAGAAATGGAATTCTCCAGAGAATTGTGTACCCCTGGCTCTGTCACTGTCTCTGACCAGCTGGGTGTTGGATAGAGACCTGCCTGGGGTCTATGATGCCTATGATGAGAGTGAAACAGACTGGCAGTGGTAGTGGGCATCGGTGTGGTGGCAGCGGAAGTGGTGGTCGTTGAAGCTGTGGTGACTCGTGGTGTGAAGGTACGAACTGAAGTAACATATGACACACGATTCTGTTGTGAGAGATGGTTATCAAAAATATTGGCTGTTATATCATGAGAAAATCTGTTGTACCGAGTTTTTGTGCTTTTGATACTTACAAAGCTGCATACTTCACTACTAGCCCAGACTTTAAACTTCCTAGATGTAATAAAACCCATCAACATCATACCAGAAATAAGAATTTCAGACTTTCCAAATCAATTAAATCTATTCGAATATGTAATGTAAATAAAGGTACCCCATGAGTTGAGTTACTTGATTAGAAAGCAACTTGCTTCATAATGAACACGCTCAACTTTCTCTCTTCATTCAAAAGTAAAATAAGCTAATTTTCTCATCACCCTTTGCTACTAATTCACCAAGTACTGTGTGTATCTAAAAATTTAACTCGATATTATTTCACATTATTACTGTACCACCCTTGTCACAGGCTTTAGGAAACATCTTAGGAGAGGCTGGTGTGGATGTCAAGCACTGGGTTGGCAAGTAGGGTGAATTTGCCAAGATTGCTCTTGATATCTATGAATGCTATCAACACTTGTGGGGTGAGATTCAACAGGAGCTATGGCATCAGTTACTGATCCTCAGGGCCACTATCTTTAGTGTTCTCGACATGGATAGCAAGCCTCTGGTTAGTCTAAAGTCCCCCCACCCCATTTATCCTTAGTTTTTTCTAGGTGAATTTTAAAGTGAGGCATGGCATTTCCATGGATTTACCCTATGGGAGAAAAACCATTTATTATAGGTCTCGATGAGATCAGTCCTGTTGTCTGATTTGTAGTTTTGTTAGTCCTACATCCCTCAACCATTCCTGGATTGAGAATTGATTTTTTCTGCAATTATTTGTGTTCTATGTTGAAAATTTTCAAAACCAGATGTTGGAGCAATGCAAGATAAAACTTGCATATTGAATGAAGGATATTGAATGTGATGAAATGCCCCCTTTCTGGGTAAGCACAAGTGGCTTCTTGAAGCTATATTGCTGAGATGGCTTCTCATACTTAGTCACAGCAGTCTTAGGAGTTCTGTTAACCTGCCAGAGACGACACCTGGCCTCCCTCACAGAGGCACAGTGAGCAGAAGATTTTTATGATCTACCTCACTAAGAAATCATCCAGAAAGTAGACAAGACAAAACAGAACTGCATTATTCATGAAAATGAAGCACAAACAGAATTACTCAAAATGAAATGGTTCATTCAAACCTGAGTATGAAACACCCCATTGTGTGCATGTGCAGAGCTGCCAGCTGGTGGTGGCCTGGCTCCAAGCTGGTATAGTCTGGAGCTGATGGTCCCCAAACTGATGTATCTGATAGCAGAGAGGGAGTCAGGGAGCCACTGTGGCTCACCGAGAAAGGGACGTTTCAGTATATTTAAGGCTGTAGCAGCTTAAGGGGGTTAAAGATGGTTTGCTTAGGTAACTCTGCTGGCTCCTTGATGAGGGAGCTCTCTCTCTCTCTCCCAACAGAGAGCAACAAAAACATAGGACATACCAGGAAGAGGGGTGGAAGGTACAAAATCTCAGAAGTGATGATGAGCTAGGAAACCCAGCCCAGGTGTTTTAACACAAGCTCAACTAGACCAGGAATGATGACTGGAAACCAAGCCTCCAAAACACTCAATCCTGAAAGTCAGTCCACAAGTTTAAAATGAAACCAAAGCCATAAACTTATTAACAACTTGGGCCCGAGGGAAGACTGCATTGTTTTGGCATTTACAGCTTCGGCAGATAACCAGTTTCACGGATTTACAACCCTATAGGTGAAAAAACATCTTATGCTTTGTGTCCTACATTGTGACAGCTCTTGTGTAATCTTTTGTATTTGAACAAACCATATAGTACATTTTCTATATACTGTACTGTAGTTTTTTTTTTTTTTTTAATTAACTCTGCCTACCTTAATCCTGTTGTCGTCTGGGCTGTCATTGCTACGTTCTCCATCAGATTTGCTGCTTGTAGCTGCCTGGAAAGAACAAGGGAAATAGTGTACTGTATTTAAACATCTTAGGAAATGCAATAATATCAGAAAAGTGCATTAAGGAATAAAAAAAATAATTCAGGAGCCATTCTGACATTGTAAAAACAATAGGGAACATTTCAGCTTTGACATTATTTAAACAAGAAAGAAATATTTTGGCTTTCTGATATTCTTAAAACCACTAGGAAACATTTCAGCTTTCCTATTGCTAAATTGCATATGGCAGAAAATTACAAGATCTTCACTTTGATGTGGTGTATATGGAGTGAATCGGGCACTCTTTATGAGGTTCCCCATCAAGAGTGTCACAATGTCACGGTGAGAGGGCTCATGTATGACTTCCTGGGACCAGTGTAAGTTGCTTCGGTCCCGTCTCCTACCCCTTTTAGAAATGCCGTTGGTCATTCTCTGTTGGGATGATGATGCAGATGTTATACCTGCAAAATGGAACAATTTTGCATTCCTGTTTGAGTCATCAGACCACCAACTGGAGGGGTTGCCCATAAGGAGTTGCCTACCCTTGGAGGTTGGTTGGGTGTCCAGGCTGGGTCGAGAGGAAGAGGTCTTTGCATTGGTGTGGGATGTACAATGAAGTAGGACTGCACTTTACATTAAAGAGGTACCCCTGCAGTAGGAGAGCACCTCGTAGGACTTCCTACACTGACAAGTGCTTGGACTTCCTTGCTGCCCTGGTAGGTAGTTTCCCTTGGCTCTAGGGCCCAAACTTTTGAAACAATGATGGATGAAAACAGATGAATTTTCAAACACTGGCTCGTGGGATGGATGACCAGGACCCTGAGACAGACAATTTAAAAAATTGGGCTCTATATCCCTGTCTACATTGGGCCCCAGACCTGGATTCTTATTTAGCTAGCCCAAATGATGATCTCTGCTTCCCCTACCACTTGGTTGTTAGAGTTCAGGCCAAAGCTTCCAGTATTGAATACTGTACATCATCTGTAGTGGTTCTATCTTTTGTAGTGACAACTGCATGTTTTACTCTCTTTCCTTATTGGGGGATCATGGCACTGTCACTGCACGCGAACACGCATGGTTCCTTCAAACACTGCTACATTCCATGATTTGTTTGGCCTCGGTATGTGGCTTAAGTATTTATTTACACGTATATATAAACACACTGTAGATACCTACGTTACTTTTAACCCCACCTGGACTGGCACCTGTATTGTTACAGACACTGGCCTTGCCTCTTTGTCCTGCATTGCTGAAACCTCAGTTTGGGTCTCCACAAATGTCCAGTAAAATGCTAGCATTGGCACAGTCATTCTCCCACACCATGTTGTGACTAGAGATAGGGAACTCAAAGAATGCCATGAAGATATTTGATATATCCTCGACCAGCAGAGATTGCACCACTGGACAAAGAAGGTAGTAAAGCTGATGCAAAAAATTAAAAACTAATAGCTCTAACATCGAACATCATAAAAAAAATCTTTAAAAGAGTGCTAAGATGATCACAAAACCCACAAAATCACAGTGTATGCATAACCCAGGACAACATGGGGTTCAGACAGGGCACTCCTGCATCTCACAATTGCTAGGTCACTATGGCATGGCCTTAGATGCCATGGAAGACAAAATGCTGATGTAATATACTGTACACAGTTTGCACAAAAGCTTTCTGCAAATATGACCATGGCATTATTGCACATGGTCAATATTCCTGGGTTGGTACCTCTTTAATAATTTCTTACTACTTACGTACAACCCACAGGATGGGTATAGGGTCCACTACTGCCCACAAGATGGGGTCTACTACAACCCACAGGATGGTGATGGGGTCCACTACAACCCACATGATGGGTATGGGGTCCACTACTGCCCATAAGATGGGGCCCACTACAACCCACAGGATGAATATAGGGTGCATAATAAATGAACAAAAATCAAGAGAGGGTACGATTGGCTTACCTCATCACCGAAGTGTTTGTAAGCAATGTCTTCTATTTTGACCACATCATAAGATGTATGGGAAGCAGTCTCCATGCGCGCACTCAGTGTGTACTCCTTCATCTGAAAGACAGGACAACCCATCAATAAGAACAGGCAATGTAAATGTTGTATCAATCAGAAAAAATAGTAGCTGATTCAAGAACAATATAATTAACAGGAATGTTATGCAAGTGAATGCAACAAAAATGTCGGGAGAACAAGTCAAATTATTTTTATAAGGAATACATGTAATAATACAATATGGCTTTTGTATATGATGAAAAGAAGTTTTAGTTTACAAAATGCCTCTTTGTTAAATGTTGCACTTAACACTCCCCTTCGATTTCACTCTGGGTTAATTCAAATTTACCATTTTTGAAAACATGCTACACAGTGCCCTCAACAAGACATGTACAAGTATCTAAAGATCAGATCTGGCACATGCCACACAGTGCCACTAACTAAGGAATGTGCAAGTGCATAGACCAGGCATGGCACATATACAGTACTACATCGAAATACTTCCTTACCACATCCCCTCTTATGGCCCTGACAACTGACTTCTGCCAAATCTGACCCTAATACCTGCCCTGTCTGAGAGCCTGAGTACTAAGACTGGACCAATTTGCTTCTCTGGCCCTAATAATCAATTCCTTCCATTGAAATGATCCCCTAATACTATGCTCCTTCCTCAGTCATGAATAACGTCAACCTTCGTCTTAAATTGACCCCAACACATACCTCACCCTATTTATACTGACCTAACCATAATTTTTTTTTTAATTTTTGCTGCTGTACCTAATATTTCACCAATTATGTTGACCACCCCTAACATTCCACCCCTTATATTATTATTATGATAATATACCACTCAGGATGATGAAGGGTCGAAGGAGATGCAGAGGGGTTGGCAGGGCAGTCATAATCCATTTTAGACCATGAGAGACGATTGCAAATAGAGGAGTGTGCATCTATCAGCTGTCAGGTAGTACGGGACAAGACTTGAAGTAATGCAAGGGCCTTAGAGCATTCAACAACTAGCATCAAGTGGGCAAAAAAATGTAACAAGACATTTGGTGGCAACAAGTAAAAAAAAACACAAATGTCACAGCATCCCAAGTGATATTTGGCACTTTTTGAATATTCATCAATACTGTGCTTCATGGTTAGTTCCGCCTTGGTATCTTCTTTTAATACTTACCTCTTTAAAGGCAAAGAGCAATCAGGAAGATACACTTCTCGTCATATTTTGTATTGCCTCAGTTGATCCCACAGATGGCTCGGAGTCGGCAAGGATTAATGCCGCTTCTTACCTTAGAGATGGTGAAGGTAGCTATCCTGGGCAGGTGGTGGAGAGTAGGATAGTAGAAAGAGTGGGCTGGATGGTCGGGGTAGTTGGCAGTGATGCGGAAGATCCTCTCGGCTGGGCTGGTGGGCCAATTAGGGGAGGTGAAGGTCAGCCCGTTGTCCGTACCTGCATCCAGGGGGTCAACCTGGACAGGCAAGGTCAAAGGTTGTCATTGCTGTGGTAGGGGTGTAAGAGATTGCATGGGAAAAATGACCAATGCCAGTCTTTTTGAACTGAAAGACAAAAAATACTTAATTTCTACTGTAAGTTCTCTCTGCTCAGGAAAAACAAAGCTGAAGGCTCTCTCCCTAACTTTATCTGGCTTGTACAACTAATCTTAAAGACATTAGGAGTAGCATGAAGCTGTAGTTTACAGATATTTACCAATAGTAGAAGAATATTGAGCCTAATTTTTCCAGTACTAATTTTGTTATTGCTGCTGCTCTTACTAGCAAGGATGTTACTGCTATATCTACTCCTGGTACCACAACTACCCCTACGACTTCATCTATTTCTGGTACAACATCTACCCCTGATACATTTATTCTTTCTACATTTACTGCTGTTAATATATCTAACTACTACTACATCTACCACTGCTACTACGTCTATAACTGGTACCTGATTTACTTTTTACTTTACACTAACACTAGTGGCCTCAAAGAGGATAGGAAACCGGTGGCTTGTCGAAGGTCCCCCCCCCCATTTGTCTTGATAAAAGATTATCAGTTTGCCTTTAAAATCTACATTTACCAATGCTGTTACATCTACTGCTGCTATTACATCTACCACAGCTACATAAATGGATTGCACTAAGAAGTGAAGTGGCTGGCACAGGCTTCACAGTATAAAACATATATATAATATGAGCCCAAAAGGCTCCAAAACCTGTACACCAGTCGACTGAGG